CAGGGGATTTATGTCGGGGCATCATCAAAATCTCCAAGAAACCAAGGAGATGAGCAAACTTTGAGTAGCATGGATAAATGTAGTTGGTGATACAGAAAGCTTTGGAAGCCCATTATCATGGATTGAGGCGTACTATATGGATACTATTGTCAATGGAAGCAGCACTACAGAGGGAGAAGCTAAAGGTTGAAGAAGTCGATGTAGAAGCAACAATGCCATGTGGCAATGTAGCAGTGGTTCAGTCTACTAGTGTTAGCTCTTAAACAAGAATAGTAATAGCAAGATTTACAGTGGGAAAGCTTCCTATAACGGGTTGAAGATGTTGATTGTTTGGAATTTTGGCTTTTGAAGAGGACCAAGGAGTATGAGGTACCCTCGGTATGGAGTTCATTGAGTGTCTTCAAGGAGTGTTTCTTGACAATTCCTCTATTGAATGCAACATTTGGTTGACTGACCCTTCTAGAAAATTCCTTTGTGCTTTCCTCCTTAATGCCCTTTCTTCCTAGCCTCCAAATGTTTATTTGTTTCTGGTAATGGTTGCGTTGAAGACACCAATCCCCCCCCCCCCATAAATAAGAGCTTTTTTATTGGGAGGTACTTTACCTTAATTACACTTGTGATGTTCTTCAAAGAAAATATTGGACTGGTACTTATCTCCTAATATGTGCTTCTTGAGTAAGGCAAGCTGTGAGACTACCTTTCACTTGTCAACCTCCTGCCAATTTGCCTCTAGAATCTGAAAGTTCTCTTAGAATGCAAGTAGAAACCTCCTACTCTCCTAGTGATATAAGGAGCCTATTCTTGGAACCTTTCCTCCCTCCACCAAAAAATTGAGGGAAGATCTTTTTTTCTGAAGAGTAAATAAAAAGATATTTCATTCAAAAAAAAAGTATTACAACCTTAATGGGTGTCAAGATGACACAATGAACTAATCACCATAAAAAATTCAAAATCACACTCTTGAAGCTCAACTGCATCCCAGAGGATTTTCTCCAAATCAACTCCATTAACTAGTTACCCTTCTGTATTTAGCTCTCCACTAACCACATACCATCATTCATCCTTCATTCTCACATCGAAACTCTCCAGACTTGATTTCTGAAGCAAATCACCTCTAATTTGTATCTTCAAATCAGATTTCTTGCCACAACTCTTCTTCCCTCCATCAACCCCACAGAGCCCTGCTTTACAGCTTTTTCCAAACCTCCTGTTCCCTAACCTTAAAAATTCCAAGTCTTCAACCCCTCACTCTTCCTCTCCTAAAAACTCCTCTTCAGCCCCATCTTTGTCCCAGCCCTTATTCTTCTCAATTCTTTCATTTTTTTTTTTCTATTTTTTCCTCACTTTTGTTTCTTTCAAACTATTCAAAAGCAATTCTTGCAAAACTTCCCCGCCCCAAAAGAACAGATCTAGTGATTTACCCACCTTCACCTCCTTCTCCACTAACTTACTAATATTCACTTCTCCATTTTGAGAAACTTCGGTAATTTCTTGATTGTCGACCCCCTTTCACCTCTGCCTCCCCCCTTATCCATCCCCCTCTACACCAGCAAGATTTCTTCCCCTTCTCCCACTCCTACCTCCTTCACACCAAAGTCTCCAAATGAAATCGCCAAAAGCCTCTTTTTTCTATTATAAATCCTATTCTGCAAGCTATACCCTTTTGTCCAAAACAGACACTTCCTCTTTCCCTCACCTCCCCTCTCCTCTTCTTTCTCCTACCCTCATGTTTGCCTTCCTTCCTCTCTCAACTTGACCAAAGCATCAATAGTGTTTGGATAAGTTGGCCTTACCTGTTCGTTGCACAAACCAGCATCAGTCCCCTTCTCTGGGACATCATCCCTCACTTTCTCCACTGTTCTTGCCATGCTCACCTTCGACCCATTCTCTGAAAAAGCAGGAATGTTGTCTGTCTCTCACTGGGGAGCAACCTGCACCATCACTTGACTCTCTTTTCCTTTTGGAACTCCAACATCAATAACTGCACCAGTACCCTAGCTCCTAGTTCATCGATTTCCTCTTGGATCTTAACTTCTAACTGTTGCATGTTGTTGTCACTTCAGTTCTCCCCAGTTCTTCTCCCCTTCCCCAAAACTCTCAAAACCTCCTTTTTCTTTCTCAAACCTTGAAACAACCCAAACCCCTTCCTCTGATTTTTTTGAAACACTCGTGTTTGCCTGAACCAGCCTTAAGAATCTCCCATCCTCCCCCTCCATTACAAGCCTTAGTTCATAACTCTCCCCCACAAACTACAGCTCTAAATTATTTGGAATGTTTGAGACCTCCTCCACCTCCACTTACATTGTGGCCATATCCTACCCTTTCCAATCTGTTCTTGTCATCAAACATCAAAAACTTCCCACAGTAATCACCTATTCCTCAAAAGTGAGAATGCTCCAAGAATGAAGAGGAATCCCAACCATGTCAATCCACACTGCCCTTCTACTTCTTTGAACACTCAATGCTCCTGCCACCGGGAACCACCAGCCAAGTCGAAGGTCAAACTCCCTTTCCTTCGATTGTTCAAGTTCCAGGATCTTTTCTGCCAATTCTCTACTGTGAAACATAAATAAAAAAAGTCCATCATTCAGCTTCCTGATGCCCATAGCCCTCTCTTTTCCCCATTCCTTGGCAAATGAAGAGATGTGTGAAGATATCAAGTAAGGACCAACAGATTAATCATTTGAGGCAACTATAATCATATCTGGATTAGGGTTCTGAGATGGAGCACATCTGGTGCTGAAAACTTTACGTGGCAGGAGGGGCTCTCTCCAGAAAAGTGTTGTTTCTGTAATCATTTTTCGTCCCAATCACCATCAACCCAACTCAATTCAAAATATGTTTGTGGATAAATGACAGAGAAATAGGTTAGAGGGAAGAAAGAAATTCTGGTCAAGGAGATATCTCACATGAAATAAGCTTTGATCGAGAACATATCAATGAAGGTATCCTATCGGGTTTAGAGCCCAAGTACATTTCAGCCTTTCTCAGTTAACAACATTCTTAGAGGATGATTATGGGTCGCTTCCTCATAAATAAGAAGGAATTCAACAGCAATGCATCAGAGTCCTCCACAGGCATCCCTAATTAAGCTAAACTTTTATGGATGCAGCATGAGGAATCCAGTTAAATAAGGAATTGGGGTGTCTTAAGGAATACCAAGGGCATATGATGACTATTTATTTGGGAAATGTAGGACAAAGCAACTCAACCAGAGTGAAATTACTAGCTGTGCTACAAGGACCAAGAATGGGAAAATAGTTGAATTACAAGAACATCATTGTAGAAGGAGATTCGAGGATAATCATATTATGACTTTTAAGCAACACAATGGAACTTGACAACAATAAGAACTCAATGAAGTGACAAGTTTGACTGGGGGGAATTTTGCGAATCTTTCCTATGGACCCATTGATCAGCCAATAGTCTAGCTGATTAATTGGCAAGACAGGGTATAAATCTTAGTCAACTGTATAGGAGGTAAGGATGCAATCAAATAGTTCAGGCTTGAGTTCAATCAGGCTCGATTCGAGTTCGATTCTAATCGAGCTTGAATTGAGTTCAAACCTTGGAGTAAGCTCAACTAATTATTTGAGCTTGAGCTCGACCAAAAGTTTGGCTCAAAAGCTCGTGAGCTTGGCTCGATTAACACACACTCAAACACATACATATATTTTTGATAAATGAGATACATACATATCTACGTATATATTATAGAATATAAAAATATACTATATAATATATATTACGAAAATTGAAGGTGATTCAGCTAGCCAGCCAACTTGGTATTGAAAGGCTGATAATTGAAGGCGATTCCCAGGTTGTTGTGGGGTGGTTGCTGAATCCAGATTCGACTATCGGGGGTTTAAGAGATCTTCTTAAGAAGGTGGCTTGGGTAACAAGGAATATGATAGTGAGGATCCCATAGATAAGAAGATTGGCTAATGAGATGGCTGATTCTCTTGCAAAACAAGAATTTAACAGGGATTCTCTGTTCTGGGCAACTTTGTGGTTGTGTATAATCTCTCTACTAGTGGTTACATGTATCTCATGTAGTTCTGATTTGTTCTTAAAGAGTGAGGCTGCCCCTTGAGCCTCTCTCAGGGCTTATTTGTAACAGATCTTTCTTTTGAGTTGTTTGGACTGCTGCCACAGTAATCCGAACAAGCAAGAGGAGGAAGAAGAAGAGGGAGAAGAAGAGAAGAAGAAGAAAGAAAAGAAGGGACTGTCGAATCTGATGGGTAAACCCTATCAGTCGACCCCTTAATAGTTATTAGTCTCTAATCACATTTACAAAGACTAAACTGCCCTTACTTAAGTGTGGGGCAGAGTGTCTCTAATAAGACTGCCACATAAGTAAAAAACTTAACAAAGATAAGATGACTAAACTACCCTTATTCGGCTCACTTTAACATGAGTAATGAATTCAATTTTGATTATCATATATATATATATATATATATATATATATATATATTACGAAAATATATTTTTATATTCTATATATAATATAAGAATATACTATATATTATAAAAATATATCATATGCATTTATATTTATATCTATAAAATATAAAAATATATTCACTTTTGAGCTTTCTAGCCGAATTCGAGCTCACTGAATATGTAATCAAACCGAGCTCAAACTGGAAAATATAGTTTGAATCGAGCTCGAACTTGAACTCAAACCTACTAGTATTTTAGTCAAGCCAAGCCAAGACATTCCAAAGTTTGGCTTGGCTCGACTCGATTGCACCCCTAATAGAGGGTTTATACAAGTCAAGACATGTAGTTGTAATGTGAATGTGGGGTAGGGAAGGTAGTTGAGGCTAATCCTCTTTGCTGGTTCACAATCCTCATGTAACATATTTTTCTTTCACTTAATTAAATTTGGAAGTTGCCAGTCAAAAAAAATATTTGATAAGTCTACTTTATATTGCAAAACATGAAGCACATGATACAAGATCTAATACATGAAATTCAAATGAGGTGGCAGCTACCTTAAAGTTGGTCACATCCTCAAATATTCTTATACCTAAAAACACGAAATGAAATTATTTAGAATAGGCACATATAAAATCCCCTCCCCCTCCCCTCAAGAAAAATGAACAAAATAAATAACATATGGATAGGTCCAAAGAAAAATCCTAACATTACCTACTCCATGTATCATGTATAGTACATATGGTTTCATCAAATAAGTTAGGAGAATTGAGTTAGATGGTTAATATTAAGAAAATGCACATTTATTTTGTCCGAGTATTTGAGGATAGTTTTGTCACTTTTCTTAAGCTGTTGTGCACCTTGCCAGGGGGCACTTTCTACACAAATAGAGAAATGTCATAATTTAATATATCAGGAAAAGGCCAATAGACCATCTGGAGTTAAGCCAGGAGTGTAGGGACTCTGTTTCTAGTTTACATGGAGGAAGCTCAGAGAAGGATCTGGGAACAGGGGTTACAAGATTACGAGTAAAGCTAGGATGGAGGCGGGGGTAGAGGAGGTGGAGGGCAATCACAAGGTTTGGAAGGAAGGAGGGGATAGGGAAGAAAGGAACGGTCTTCAAAAAGTTGAGGGCAAGCAGGTCTCTGATTCAGAGAATGGAAGTCAAGGACCATAGGATTGACACTAGTTACTGGGTCTCGGAAGTGTTTGTTGGAAGGTTGGGAGTTGATTTGGGTCGCAGGGGAAAAGAGGTGAGTGTAGCAGACAATAGTGAGGATTCAGAAATCCCAAAGAACAAATATTCAAGCAAACTCAATGTAGTGCATATCACAAAAGTTTTCTCAAGGCTAAAGGAGGGCCTTGTGGGAGCTGGAATGACAAGTATAAAAAGATCTACAAAAGAAGAAGGATTAAACTAAGTTCTTCGAGTCGGGAGAAATCTTGCTCGGTTTCTTCATTCTCATCCAAATGGGGTCAAAAATAAACCTCGTCAAGATGGTTCTAACTAGGAGAAGTTGATCAATATGAACTTGTCAAAGAAAGTTGAGAGGGATGAATCTGATTCAAGTGAGGTCTCTCCTAAGGAGGATCCAAATGATAAGGACATGAAGAAAGGTGGCATGGATTTGGATTTGAAGACTCTAGTCGATAGAGAGGTGGAAGTTGGTAAATCCCTGGGCTTGTTCTTTTTAAGGGGGTGGGGGTGGGGGAGAATGTTGTAAGGAAAGCCTTGGAAGCTTATGAGAGACAAAGGAGAGAAGAAAGCTTGAGAAAGGTCTCTGAAGAGTTGGGGGGAGAATCTTGGGGTAAGGAGGGAGGCCAAGAAGAGCTCAGTGAGGTGGAAGATTGACCTGTGGCTTTGTAGGTGAATTGCTTCTTTGGCACTGTTGTTGCAGAAATGATGTGCTTCTCTTGCTTTCTCTGTTTTTGTTGTTTTTGTTGGTTTGTCGTAGTTGTGTGGTCTGGGGATGTTATACTAACACCTGCTCTGAGATTGTATTCAGTTTCTTTTTTCTTTTAATAAATTTTTATCCTTTTACTTATCAAAAAAATATTGTTTTCTAGAGTAAATATCTCATATTATTGGATAATCAGCCAATTCCTTGGTTAGGGGGTTATAGGCAGGACCAAGATGTATTGACCTTAGCCTATCCATGTTATCATTACTTTTTCAGGGGTAAATACAATAAAAAATTTTACAACATCACATTTCCCTTTTTCTTTTGTACAAATAAGATTATTGATACAAATATTTCCTTCCCACTCCTTTTTCTTTACAATAAGCTGTATTCAGTTGGATGAAATAACCCTATTCTAGATGGCACCATTCTTCTGGCTGTTGCATTTGGAAAGGGAACTGTGATTAGTCAAATTAGACAATCAGATTATAAATGAATTTTATCCCTCCTTTCTCCAATCCTCAGATTTGCATTTATAGGGAGCCATAATGAACTATTGTGGAGCAAGGCTGTAGACAGTTTAATCACTAACTTGCTTTGGTAGAGGAACCATAACCAAACAAGTAGAAGTACTCAATTATAGATGGTTTCTTTTCCTCTACTTCCTTTCTTGCAAGTAAAATTTAGAGATTGAATGAAAGAGAGAAGGGGAAAACTAAATAATATAAGATAGAATACATATTTGAAGAAGATATTTGCAGAGAAGATTCCCTTCACCTACCCATGAATGTGCTCTCTTTTTCCCTTCCTTTTTCTTTCTTCCTTTTTCTCCACAAGAGTTCTTTTCTTCTCTTTTCACTATTAACTTCCTTAAGACTCTCTAAGACTCTGGTTGTTAAGAAATCTTTTCTCTAGAGGAGGAGCCTCCCTCCAAAGAACTTAAATAGGGATTGGGTTGGTTACCCCTCCCTATAGGTGAAAGACACCTGGCCTCCTACTTAAAGAGATAGAAAACCGGTATAGAACACCTCTTTAGTCCAAATGGGCTCTAGTTAGCCTGCTAGCCCTTGGGCTGTAGAAATGATCCCAACCCATTTAATTAGGTTGTAAACAATCTTAAAGTTGTTGGATTTCATGGGCTTATGATTGAGTCCATTCTCTTTCTTGAGGAAAGACAAGGACCTTTTCACTAAGTTCAGATTTTAATAGGTAATTCACTAAGTTCTAATCTTTCAGAGTTAATTAATTAGAAGTTAGAACAGAGCCAAAAAAACAAAATTTACAAAACAAACTCATCATACAAGTCTTTTTCCATGATATGCTCTTAACCAAGGAACCAACATGTACTATGGCTACAGAAATACAATTCAAGTAGCTAAAAATGATTTCCTCAGTTTTGTCAGGTATGATGTTTGCAATGGTAACTCAGTCCTATTTTGGGAGGATACTTGGGTGGGAGAGACTCCATTGAAGGACCTTTTCCCTTCTTTGTTCTCTGTTTCACGGTACAAAAAGCGTTTTGTGTCAAAGTTTTTTTCCATTATGAATGACCCATTAACACCAAATTGAGACTTTGGGTTTCATAGAGGTTTAAGGGAAGAGGAAATTGTGTCTCTCACAGATCTGCTAAGTCCACTTGATACAGTATGTTTGGACCCTTCTGAACCTGATATTCGGATTTGGACACCCCAGCGGAATGGATCCTTTTCATGCGCTTCTTTCTTTAAATCCATTACTCAGTCTACCCCCAATCAGCCTTTCCCTTTTAAGGAAATTTGGTGCAGGCCTGTTCCCCCTAAGGTTATGGCTTTTTGCTGGGAAGTGTATTATAGGAAAATAAACACCTTTGACGCTCTACAAAAGAGAAGACCTTTTCTCTGTCTCTCACCTTCCTGGTGTATTCTTTGCAGGTCACATGGTGAGGACTGTAACCATAAACTAATATCTTGTTCATTTACTGCAGAGTTATGGGAGTGGCTCTTCTCATTGTTTGGGTGCAGGTTGGTTAGGCCAGCAGATGTAAGTTTGTTCTTTGATCCTGCTTTCTTCCCTTGGCGGCACAGAAGAGGAAGAATTATGCGGAGGTGTGCAAGAGCAGCGCTGATTTGGTCTGTGTGGGAAGAAAGGAATGCCAGAATTTTCCAAGAGAAGGAGAGAAGCCCAGAAGAGATGAAGGACTGCATTCTAAATAGGGTGATCTTATGGCTAAAATCACTGGACCTATTCCATCAATTCTCATTCAATGATATGTGGAGGAATTGGTTAGCAGTGGCTAATTGCTCATCCATAAAGACTAAAGTGAGCATGGCTTGGGAATGTGGTTGGTAATCTTGGTCCGTCAGGGTGGGAGGGGGGTACTGAGGAATGAGAGTGGGAATGTGGTTCTTATTTTCTCAGGACCCATAGGAGTTGGAAACTCTACTAGGGTGGAACTTGCTGCCACTATCCAGGGAGTACAGTTAGCAGTGCAGATAGGTGTGGAACAGTTGATAATAGAAGGGGACTCCAAGGTGGTAGTGGGCTGGGTACAAAATCGGGAGTCTGTAGTGTGGTGTTTTAAGAATGAAATTAAAAAGTTCAACTGCCTAACAAGAAGCTTGACAGTGAGAATACAATGGGTGGGGAAGTCAGCTAACTCTATGGCTGATGGTCTTGCAAAGCAAGGGGTAAATAGGGAAAGTTTGTATTGGGCTCAATTGTAGACTGAATCTGTTTTCTATCTTTTGTCTTTCTTCCTACTGGTAGGAGAGGACGCAGCTCGTGCCTCTCCAAGGGAAGCTTGTAACCGCACTAGTTTTTATTAATGAAATTGATCCTTTTTAATTATCAAAAACAAGAGTAGCTAAAAATGTTGTTTAGCCAATGAACAGTCCTAGGTTTATGATTGTACTAAAGCACACATATGCTACGGATCTTATGTATCTACAATGGGATACATGAAGCTTTTCAAATACAACCTTTGTGGAGCAAACAAAGAAATGTAAGCAAGACAATAATCTATCACAAAGACGGAACCAGAAAAAACCATGACAGCTATAAGGAATACCATTAATTGTGCGAACACATTTCCATTCATGTGGTTCAATTGCATCATCCACATTCCCTCCAAAATATCTGTCTGACCTGAAACTGTCCCCCAAACCTGATGACCGGCGGAGAAGTATTTCTGGGCCTACAATTGCAAAAGAAAACAGAAAATGGCAGCAACTCAATACCATTACTCTACAAATCCATGTATACATACTCTAAAAGTAAAACAAGGTGAATTAATGTGTCTCAATGCTAAGGATACAGGATTTACTTATGCTCTATTATGTGTCTACACAGTAAAGATAATACTGATAAAAACAAAAAAAAAAAAAAGCTTTATTAATATAGAAGAATGGATGGAGAAACTTTGTGCAGCCACTGTGTGCAAATGAATGCCAAAGGTATGCTAACTTTGTGCAGCCAGTCTGCTACCCTCCCCAACTTTAAATCTGATGTCTTTGAAAATGAGGAAGGCGTGCCAAAATACCTTTCCACACACTAGTGCCATAGGATAGGTGAGAAGGGAGAGTAAACCAACCCAACAGGGAGCTGTCATATCCTCTATAACTTGCCTCTGCAACTGATTATCCTCCACACCGAACCTCGAACCTCCACAGCCATTTACTAAGCAAAGTATCATTCACCCCCCCCCCCCCCAAGGGTCCTCACACCCACACGCCACACCCCCACAATCCTTGGGAAAACAAATGGAATCCCAAGCTGCCAAGTGGAGCTTCTTTCCTTGCTGGGCCCTCCCAAAGGAAATCCTTTCTTGATTTCTCCAAAGTACTAGCAACTGAGGCTGGTAAAAAGAACAGAGAGAAAGAGAGAGAGAGAGAGATAATAGGTAGGCAATCTAGAAATCACACCCTGAATTGACATTAACCTCCCACCTTTTGACAAGAAACAACCCTTCCAGCTGAAGAGCCTTCTCTTACATTTCTCAATAACTGGATCCCATAATGCAGCAGATCTGTAGTTGGCACCAAGGGGAATCCCTAGATATTTTGTTGGCAGCTCTCCCACCTGACCAAGAGTGCTAGCAAGCTCACCAGTATGTGGCACCTCCCCTACTGGGACAATATGGCTTTTCTGGAGATTTACTTTTAATCCAGACACAGCTTCAAAACAGATCAGCAAACATCTAAGGAACATCAAATCAGACTGCCTTTCCCTGCCACACACTAGTTCCCTGGAGATTTACTTTTAAGTCTCTTAACCTTCTCTTATTTGATTTATGTAGTTGTTTGCTATGGTCTATTGAACCTTAAACATGCATTATACTTCTAACAATTCCTTGAAAGTTTATTAACTAATTCCATGTCTTTAGATTTCCCAAATGTCTTAGCAAAATTTCCCCATCTCTGCATGGCAGAATGTCCATCAATACCAGAATTGTGATCCATTGTCAAAATATCACCTACTCCTAGCAGTCAAGCAACATGTACAAAAAAAATGAGTATACTAGAGATGTGAATGTTAAAATAGACAAATGATAAGAACAGAAGAAGAAGAAGAAGAAGAAGGGGAGAAACATCACCTGATGTTGTGTTACCCTATAGATATAGAAACTTCAGTAGGGTTCTAATCTGAAACCAAGAAGCATCAAGAGAAAAGACAAGAGAAGCTAAAAGGGGTGTCAAGAATGATCAACTACTCCCTAAAAGGCGACATGCTACAACAGTATACTGGAGGGTACAACCATATACAGCCAATTTACAGATAGACCTGTTCATGGGTGGGGCGTGGGCTGGGCTTTTGCCAAAATTTGAATAGGCCTGGCCTGAATCCCAAG